ACAATCAAGGTGGAGTAATTACAGTATGTATGTAAAAGGTAAATCACCTAATCAAATCCCATAATTACAGCAACTATATTAATGTAGGTCAATGTTGGCTAATATAATCCTAAATGTAAGGCATGATTATTGTCACTATTTACAAGAAAAAGGAGTAAGACTTGTTTGTACAAGTTATCCTTAACCAATGGCGTGGTCGAGCTTAAAGGATAAGACCATAGTACACTGTACCGCCCTATAAGCATCTGGAACACTGTCACTGCACCTTGTTGAGCTGGACCAAATCTGAAGCAGAAAAACACTTGGTATATCGACCAGCAGACGTCCTTAAGATGTTCTCTATAAGAATAACAGGGTTATAAGTTTTTCATGATTACAAAAAACCTGTTTCCAAATAGTCTCAAAGTCCTTCAACAGCTATATTTTCAAATGAGACTATACAAGAAAATTTTCCTCACTCATTTGAACTCTCAGCATTAGTTATAAATGATCAAATCTTTTTGAGAGCTCTTTGAGAAAAACTAGAAAAGCTTCTCAAACTCCATTCTAATCTTTGGAAACTGCTTTTAGAAAAAGAAAGGAAAAAAAAGACTTCAATTATCATGGAATATCTGAAGAAGTCTATAGAGATCACACTCTAAAAGTTGAGCTTGTGAGGCTCGGCGGGCGGGAGCAGGCCTGTGAAAGGCAAGACTCTGCTACGAGCTATGTGTGCACACAATTCTCACATCGCATGGGTGTGGAAGAGTGAAGTGCTATATGTAGGTTCATCACCCTTCTATGACACAACGCGTTTTAAAGTCATGATGGCCATGAACCCATCAGAACTCCGTAGTTAAGCGTGCTTAACCTGGAGTAGTACGAAGATAGGTGACCTTATGGGAAGTTTCTGGTCCGGGAAAGCCAAAAGCGGACAATATTGTGTCCGGGTAGGGTGAGGGTTGTTACAAATGGTATCAGAGCTTAACCCAACCGGAAGTGTGCCGATGGGGACGTCGGGCTCCCAAGTGGGGTGGAATTGTGAGGCTCGGTGGGTGGGAGCAGGCCTGTGAGAGGCAAGGCTCTGGTGCGAGCTACGTGTGCTCACAATTCCCACATCGTCTGGGTGTAGAAGAATGAAGTGCTATATTTAGGTTCATCACCCTTCTATGACACAACGCGTTTTAAAGCCGTCATAGGTGACCTGGAGTAGTACCAGGATGGGTAACCCCCTGGGAAGTCTCTGGTTTGGGGGATCCAAAAGCGAACAATATTGTGTTGGGTAGGGTGAGGACCATTACAAAGCTAGGATTTCATTGTCTATCTGTCCATTAAAGGGACCCCTTTGTATGTGTTGTTGCACCAACACTACTCTTGAAAAAGAGAGATTGAAGGTGGTGGACCTTCAGAAGTCTGAGTGGGTGATGCCCCTTCGAAAAGAGAGGATTAGTCCCAACCTAAGAAAAAATAACACTTGTAAAGGTTTCTTCTCTACCCGTAAAGAGAAGGCTCATAGTGAGATTGGGAATCCTCAGAAGGCGCTTCTGAGGCAAAGATGTAGGCAGGTGCCGTACCTTGTAAAAATTGTTGTCTTGTTTGCTTGTGTGTTTGCATTTTCTCTATCTTTTTAACTATGTTTATTGTGTTCTTGCAAACTGATTTGATCCTTTATCTTTGTTTCATTTCTTTAGCACCTTCAAGACCAAACTGTTTCTCTAGGTAACAGGTAACACTCATTGTTCTTCACTCACATTCTTGAGTGTTACGCTAAGAAACAGAACACCCAACTCAGTCATTAGCTATCCATTCTTTGATAGTTTTAGTTAGCCTCTGTTTTGTGTTTCCTTCATAGTCAGCCTTAGTGCCTCAACTTCGAAACTAGAGTCATTGTTTGGGCAACAAGAACTTCAATACAGACTTTTTGTATGCACAGGCAAACACATGCTCTAGGATCTGAACCAGAACTGGCAAAAACTTTTTTGATAATGCCAGCCTGAGCTGGACCAGCTCCACTGATATATACTTCTGTAACAAGGATCAGTTAAATAAGTGAAAGCTTAATATTCTCAATTGCAATTCTTGAAACACTAACCTTTTCCCTTGAAAATGTGGAAGATCCACCATCAGTGTGCGACTTTGTCTATAAAAAAAAATTTCTTTTTTATAAGTAAAAATCATTAAAGGCACTCAAAAGGGGAGCACTCCCAAGAGAACAAAAAGCCTCTACCAGCAACATTACATCTTAGACTATCAACAAAATCCAAAAGACTATCCATGGATATACAATTTCGCCCATTAACCCAAAAGAAAAAGCCGACAAAATATTGTATCTGAGAGACCAAATAGGAGACTCCTCCCCCCTCAAAGGATCTCCTATTTCTCTCGCGCCACAGGCCCCACCAAAGACAGAGGGGAGTTGCCCTCCAAGCATCTCTGACTCGGCTCTCCACTATTCACCCTTTCCAAGCCTCAAGCAAATCAACCGTGGACTCAAGGAACACCCAAGCCACACCAAAGGCAGCCAATAACATAGCCCAAATGTCCCTCACCATAGGGCAATGAATCAGAAGATGGTTCACAGATTCCCCGGACTTCTTACACATGCAACACCAGTTCACTACAACCAGGCGTCTTCTCTGAGGTTGTCAAGAGTGAGGATACTTCCAAGGGCAGCTGACCATGCAAAGAAAGCCACCTTTAAGGGGCTTTAGTCCTCCAAATAGCTCTCCAAGGGAAAGGAAAGGCCAGGGGTCTCCATAAGACTTTGGTAGAAAGATCTAACCTCAAACACCCCTCTCAATGACCCCTCCCACACTATCACATCCATACCCACACCCTCCACCACTTGGTCGTAAATCAGAGCAACAAAATCTGAAATCTCCAAAAGCTCCCAATCATGCAACTCTATGCGAAACTGCACATCCCAAGTCACCCTTCCATTATTAAGCCGATAACAGCCAGCAACTACAACATGCTTATTCACAGCAATCCTGAAAAGACGAGGAAATCTACAAGCCAGCACAAAGTCCCCACACCATCGATCCTCCCAAAATCTGACGTGCCTCCCGCTCCTAACTTTGAACCGGATGCGTTTGGAAAACTTATCCCAACCCTTCCGAATGAGTTTCCAAGATCCCATACCCACTGGAGCTCTCACCTCCCTAGAAAGCCACCCTCCATCTCCCTCCCCGAATTGACCAGAGACAACCCGCCTCCATAATTCTGTCCTGTCTCTCCCAAATCTCCACAGCCACTTGCCCAACAAGGCCTTATTAAACATATCCGACCTTCAGATCCCCAAACCTCCCTTTGAAATAGGGGTACAGACTCTCTCCCAGTTCACTAAATGGTAATTGAACTCATCCCCCCCACCGCCCCACAAAAAAAATTTCTGAAATGTATCAAGCCTTTGGAGCACTTTCTTAGGCATTGGAAAAAGTGACTTAAAATAAGTAGGGAGGTTTGAAAGGGTACATATCATGAGCGTGTCTATAAAATATTGGGACACTAAAGGAAGCATTTAATAGTAAAACCAGGGCAGGCAGTGAAAAAATGGGTCAAGACTTCAACCCCACTCATGATCAATTACCATTACAGGTATACTGGATCCAACCCAGCCCTGCACTTCTGAACTTTAGCATAAAACAGCAGGCTAGTTGGATGAGTATTCAGGCAGAAATTGCCCCATTTAGAGGCTCACATTGCTCACTTGTAGGTATAATGTGTTCACATGTAAACAACAATAACATAACATTTCCAGGAAATAAAAATAAAATTGATGAAAATGAATGATGCAGTTTGAAAGAGCGAATTGTGCAAATGTTTATGATGTGAGTGCTTGCTAGTGAGCATCTGCGGCCCACTGACATATAGAATCACATTTGTAATTTATTTTTTTGAAAGGTGTACATTTGTGATTTAGGTCTAAGAAATTCGACAACAAATTAAAAATATTAGCTACAATCATGAATTAAAGCTTTCAAAGTCAAAGGGTTGCAAATCAAAGACACTCAAGGCAGGAAACTTACTTTGTCTAGTGAGAGCTTAATTACTAGTTACTTATCAAAAAAGTGCTTAATTACTAGTTCTTCTACAAAACAAGTACACCTGTGAGTTATAAATGAGTCAACTACGAATTCTTCCACATGTCTAGTGAGAGCCCACATGCCAATTGAAGGCTTATACATTGGGACACTTCTTCTGCATCATAATTGATAAAAAGAAAGAAAGAAAGAAAGAAAAATAGATTCCATTTCCACCTAGCTTGCTTCTGTTTTCCTTAGGAGGCGGTAGGTTTGTTCTTTCTGAATTCACCCTCCCTCCTGTGGAAAACTCCCCCCCTGTTCCTCCTCTTAAGCTAATAAGTTTAGTTCATAAAACTAAACATAAATAAAAGTCTAAATGGGAATGCACTGCATCCTATAATTGTGTCTACATCTATTATAATAGAAGGATTCTATTATCGGTTTGACCATAATGCTTGTATGGTGTTAACAACCATCTACTCTAAAAGATTAAGCTGTTAGAGAGGGTGTAACATAAATATATAACTCCTTCAACATGCCCCCTCACGTGTGGCCTTCTTTTGGTCCAACACGTGTTTTTCAATTTTTAATTAGGATGACGGTGAGGTTTGAACTACAGACCTTTGGCTCTGAAACCAAATTGAAACTTAGAAGAAGAAGAGAAGAGGGAGGAGATAAATCTGGGAGAAAAGAGGTGTGGAGTCAAAACCCTATACCCTTCACTCTTATATATTAAGATGAGCAAAAGTACAATAATACCCTGACTATTACACTAATAGCCTCTAACATATGGCATCCACATTCTAATTCAATAGTATAAGAACAAAGAAAACCAAATGTGTTCACTTATACATATTCGCAAACATTTACTTAAAAAATGAATGTCTAATTTTGAGCTCAACCCAAGTAAATCAGCCATATCTAGATCCTGCCAACAAGAAACACTCCCCCAGAGATAAAATAAATAATAAATAATAAATAAATAAATAACTGTACCTGTTGCACAGACAACAATAGGAAGAACAGAGGGTCTAAGAAAATTGCCACCAGGCAAGAAATAACAAAGAACTTGTTCCACTGCTGAACCACTCTAGTATGAGGGTTCATGACCCCAGGAATAGACGGATGCAGAAAAGAAAAAGTTCTCCTGGCCCAACCTTTTGCATCTCCATAAAGAATGGTATGGAACTGCACAAATCAGTGCAAGTAAATGAGTACATTAAGTAGCTCCCAACATCTATTTGTAATCATGTAGGTGGTGAATTAAATAGAAAATGGGAAATAGAAAGTAACGATCAAATAAAATCAGCTAAACTTTATTGCAATCTTAAATAGCAAAGGAGAAATAAATAAAGTACCATCTAAATAACACTCGCAAATAATTTCTTGCTAGTTGGTTCTACAGGCTGCATTTCTACTCCTGATGTTATTCACATTCCTTTTTTTACAAGTAAAAATATTGCACTCAAAAAGGGGAGTTCATAAAAATAAAAATAAAAAGCACAAGAGCCAAATAGGGCCCCTAAACTCTCAACCTATCCGCAAATTCCACTAAATCTTCCACAGATATTCAATTCCTCCCAAGAACCCAATAAAAAAAATAAAAAAGAATTTAAGCACCCGAATAAGAGTCTCCTCTCCATCAAAGGACCTCTTATTTCTCTCCCTCCACAAGGCCCACCATAAACAAAGGGGCGCCACCCTCCAAGCATCTCGGGCTTGAGCCCCTACTATACATCCTCTCCAAGTCTCAAGCATGCTCATCGTGGAATTTGGCATGACCCAATGAACCCCAAACAAAGCCAATAGCATAGCCCAACCAGTTGATTTATGAGAATGAAAAACAGATCAGGAAAAAAGAAGCATAAGAAGAAAACTGATGAGAGAAACGAAAGAATGTGACGGCAAAAAGAATGGGACAGCATACTGATACTCTCTTACATTATATTATTTAAACCATCTTTGATAAGCACACAATTAATCATATACCCTTCAGCATAGAAAAATAAAATAAAAGGATAGTTTCCAACACTCCCCCTCAAGCTGATGCGATGATATTACACATGCCCAGCTTGTCTAGAACTGAATAAAAACCTGTAGTCGCCATTCTTTTGTTAGAATATCTGCAATAAGAGAAATGTAGCCTTAGTGGCTCTTGATCCATGGATGTAGGCCTTAGTGCCCAACCATGTATATGATGTGTTCTTAATCTTTCTCTATTTCATCTTTTTATTTTACATCTTATATTTCCGCATCATAAATTTAACATGAAAAATAAAGTAACACATATCAGAATAAGTAATATCCAAACTAAGGGATGGAATCCTAGTCACTTGAAAAGTGGCCTTCAGAAAAAGAAAAAAAAAATAAGAAAAGAAAATCAATATTACAGCAATGTTCCCTAGGAAAAGTGATATATCATTGCTACAGCCAAAATCAGGCACCATAAAAGCCAAAATGAAATATAGCAAAAAACATCTTTGACATTACAGCTAAAAATAATGATTTGTTGGCGTAAGGAAAGAAAAATACCTTGGGGTCTAATATAACTGAAGAATTTGAGTTCTTTTGATGCTCGTTAAAATTGTAATAAGCTGGGCACCTTGTACAGTAAGGATCATTGCATATTCCCAATTGCCCAGACCTCAGTAAATGTTCATTTTTGCCAGCATAGTTGTCTGGCGAATTATTATGATCCATTCCTCTAAATGAAGGATATTTTTCCACCGTTGACTCAATCGATTTGTGCCCTGTTGCACCTTTGGTAGGCCGGAAAAGGTTTTCGTGCTTACGGCCAATATATAAAGGACCACTCATCTGTATTAATGGAATCTTTCTTTCACTTCGCAAGGGACCAGTATGACCTACAAGGTTATTTTCATGCCCGTAGGACTCGACGGAGTCCATAGGAATGGAAATGGATGCACTCCTAGTTGTTGAAACAAATTTCCGGAGTTGAGAGTCCTCACACTCATCTACTTGTAAATATGTGCCTGATAGCATCGGGGTCACATCTTTCTCAGAAGCAGCCATTTCTTAAGGAGTGGACCTACAATAGAAGTAAAATTAACAATCCAAGTCTGAGACCATGAAAAAATAAAATTAAATATAAAAGAACAAAGGATACAAACATGAAGCACTTGAGCTAACCAACAAGAATCCACACCGATTATAATTCTGATATACTTGGTAAATAAGATTATCAAATTTCAAATTTAAGTTGAAGTGGGGAACCCCATGAAATATTAGTTTTGGTATCAATGCTGGAATTTTCAAATAAAGTAGAGTTTATTTCTCTACATTCTAAATCAAAGTGGAATCTAATTTTTTAGAGATTGCAAAAGATTAGCTACAATCCTTCTACTGAATGTTAATTTAAAAAAACACATAGGTATCTGTGCTGAGGTAGTAAAATATGATTACGAGGTTCTTCTTTTTTCTCTCAGTGTATATGTGATGTTGTGGGAATTTTGTTCTGGCCCGGGTCGCAAAATGGGTTTTGTAAAAAAAAAAAAAACAACAAATAAGTGACCCATTTTTCTCTTGCGGGTCTTGGACACTGTTCAGGACTCTCTTGTAGCCCAGTATATAAGGGCATTTAAGGTTTGGAGTGGGTATCGAGAGAACACTAAAAACCGCAGGAAAGAGAGTGAGAGATAGAGCTGGGTTCGGGGCCAAAACTTGTAATCTCCTGATTTTCGCATAGTGATATATTTCGCGGATCTTCATAATAGACGTAGCCCTTGCCGAACCACGTAAATCTTTGTGTGTGTCGAGTTTACTTTTTTGTCGTGATGCTTGATTGTGTTCTAGGTTTGCGGCATTTGTCATAACAAACTGGTATCAGAGCTTTCGGTTCGAAGCTGGGATGAAAATTTAAGAAGTTTAATGGCATAAACGATTTCAACTTGTGGCAGGTTAGGATGCAGTCTCTGTTGGTTCAACATGGGTTATCCAAAGCGCTGAAGGGAAAGGATGCACTGCCATAAGGGATTAAGGACAAAGATGGAGTCATGGAGAAAGCACACAGTGCGATTATGTTGTGCTTGAGTAACGAGGTTTTTGAGAAGTTCTGGAGAGACTGCGCCGGATGGGCTGTGGAACAAATTGGAGGCCCTAATGAAATCTCTTTCGAACCACTTGTGTTTAAAGAAGCAGTTGTTCAATCTTCAAATGCACAAAGGTTCATCTCTGAAAGACCATCTTGACGAGGTAAACAATATCATTATGGACTTGAATAATATTGATGTTAAAATATTAGATGAGGATCAGGCTATTATTTTATTACGTTTTCTACCACCCTCGTATGAGAACTTTGTAGATACGATAGTATATGGCAGAACTGTGTTGTCTATGCAAGATGTGAAGGCAGCTTTGAATTCTAAGGAGTTGCAGAGGAGGGCATTTGAGGGCAACACAGAAGGTTCAGCAAAGGGGTTGGTTATTAGAAGGAGACCGAATCTGAAGGGAGGGTCCAGTGGCAGAAGTCATTCTAAGCCTAAGAAGAAAACGAAGGTGTTGAGATGCTACCCCAATCACAAGGAAGGGCACTTCAGGAAAGACTGTCCAAAGCGTAAGAAGGGAAAAGGGAAAAGGGAAAAGGGAAAATCATCTGAAGTTGGTAAAGTGGCTGTAGCAGAGGGTAATGATTCAGATGGTGGTAACATTCTCACAATTTCTATCAGCGGCTATGGTGATGAATGGATTCTTGATTCAGGTTGCTCATATCACATTTATCCAAACAAGGACTGATTTATTTCTTATCGGTCCATTGATGGAGAGGAACATCTAATGGCGAACAATGTGGCGTAGAAGGTTGTAGGTATCGGTATTGTTGGATATATTGTAATATATATACATATACATATTATAGATGTGAGATACACACGATTAGAGCCCTGTTATATTCCAGAATATAACGGTTAGTTTAAAATTTTAATATCGCAACTATTCAGATTGTAGCCGTATTCAGATTGTAGCCGTAGAGTAAGAGTTACACCTAGTGACCATTGGTTTGAGTAACATTATACGGTTCCAAATTCTGTAATTCAATCCCTGTTAGCATATATGATAGCCACGATTTATGGAATGACTTACCATATTAGCAGAGATTTGATTATGTTATAGAATATGCCATAGAATATGCTTTAGAATATGCTGTAATTGTATTTAGATTTGATTTAGTTTCCTTTCTTATAATATGAGCATGTACTCTTTTTATTTATAAATACTAGAGTTATGAATGAGTGATTCATCTACACAATTCTCTCATTTTTCTTCTATATTGTATTTCTACTTCGTATCAAAGACAACACCTTTCCACACCTTTCAGCAGCCTCGCTACTTGTGTGACAACCACCTTAGGCTTTTTGTGATATCGTGTGACGTTACCTACACATGTTTTTCTGTGTTATTGTTTTGTGATCGAAAATAGGTATTTTTAAGTTTTACAATTTCTTTTTTACTCTTCTAGGGTTGGGTAAATTGGGATAGTTGATCTCTAACACCTAGAAGGGTTTGGGTAAAAAAATATTTTAGTCTACAGAGAGGTTCCGGATATTAAGAAGGAGGTTGTCTGGCTATATGTAAGCTAGCAGCGCTCCTTAAAAAAATTATGTATTTGTATTTTTCGGGAATGGTCTGAGGAGACATTGTTATTGTTTATGGTCAGAGGAGACCCTTTGATTTATTAACATAAGTTGTGGTGTTTTTGGAGTTTTTTATTGTCGTGTGACAGATTATGGCAGATTCAAGATCCTCAACTGTTAATTCTCTTAGCTCAAGTTCTGTGGGTAGTGGTGCCATTTTTCCCACCAACTCATCAGAAAATGCAAGACTTCAAATCACAATAGTGAAGTTGGATGGCTCCAACTATTTGATTTGGGCACAGTTTGCCAAGATGTTCATCGGTGGAAAAGAAAAGATTTGCTATATTACTAATTCTGAGAAAGAGCCATCTGACTTCAAGGCATATCCACAGTGGTTTGCAGATAACGTTATGGTTATGCCTTGGCTAGTCAATTCGATGCAACCAAACATAGTCGTTAGCCATATGTTTATGAAGACTGCTAAGCAAATTTGGGATTCAGCTCAACGCACTTATTCTCAAAGGCAGAATAATGCACGGATTTTCCAGTTGGGGCGAGATATCACCAGGATTTCTCAAGGTGACTTGACAGTTTCAGGTTACATCACCAAGCTTTATCCTATTTGGGAAGAGATGTCATATTATGATTCCTTCCACTCTTGGAAGGATCCAGATGATGCAGTTTTATATGCAGGGATTGTGGAGAAGAATCAAGTGTTTCAATATCTTGCCAAGTTGAACGACGAGTTTGAGTATACTCGTATTCATTTATTGGGCTTATCTTCATTCCCTACTCTTGAGAATGCATACTCCTATATGTTGTCAGATGAGAGCCGTCGGACTCATCCATTAAGTGTTGCTTCTGTTGATCGTTCTGCTATGGCAGTTCGGTTCCCAACCTTTCAGGAACTACACCATCCCAGTCAGTTCAAAACTCTACCATCCGTCCTCTAGGACGACAACGTGGACGGTGTGACCATTGCGGAAAAATTGGTCACATCAAATCTTTTTGTTATGCTCTACATGAACGCCCACCGCAACAGAAACAACAGCCTCGATCCTCTGCACATTCTGTTACACAACCAGTTTCGTTGTCAACTCGTGACAACTCTGCCTCTACATCTTCTGCCACAGTTACCTTAACTCAAGCTGATTTGGGCAAATTCAAACAATTCTTCAACCAAATGGAGACATCATCTCAGCCAACCTCCACTTATGCCCACTCGGGTACTATTGTGTTTGCACATAGCGTATCTACATCTTCGACACCATGGATCATTGATTCTGGTGCTTTAGACAATATGACTAGTATATCCTCATTCTTCAATCTTATAGCATCTGCTCTAGCCATCGCAAAGTACGCCTTGCGGATGGCTCTCCATCTTCCATTGTTGGGAAGGGTCACATATCAGTTACTCCTTCATTAACTTTGTTAGATACACTTTATGTTCTACAGTTGACTACAAATCTTATTTCTGTTAGTAGCGTTACCAAACAATTAAATTGTAGTGTAATGTTCTTTCCCTCCCATTGTAATTTTCAGGATCTGGTGTCGAAATGGACAATTGGCAGTGGGCGTGAAGTGGATGGTCCATACCTGTTGGATGCTCCTTTGTCACCTCAAGCACATCCAGCTTCATTTTCTAATTCTATTTCATCTAAGAAAGCACAGCTTATGCATTTAGGACATATTTCTTCGGTTATTTAAAACATTTATTTCCTTCCTTATTTTGTAACATGGCAGTGTCAGATTTATCCTGTGAGACATGTCACATAGCTAAACATGTTCATTCCAATTATCCTGCTAGTAGTAATAAATCTGTTTTAACACCTTTTGATCTTGTTTATTCAGATGTGTGTTTCGATATTTCATGTTGTTCATTAATGATCATAGTCATGTTACATGGGTTTATCTTGTGAAAACCAAAAATGAGGCGTACACCATTTTTAAAAATTTTATGACAATGGTTCAGACTCAATATGGTCGTACCATTAGAAAATTCAGATCTAACCAGGGTACGGAGTACACTTATGAGGAGGTACAACAGTTATGTACAGAATTTGGGATTGAGCATCAGATGGCTAATGTTAAAACCCTTCAACAGAATGGCCGTTCTAAGAGAAAGAATCGCCACATCCTTGACTTAGCCAGAGCAATCTGCATTGGCATGAATGTTCACCAGTCATTTTGGGGAGATGCAGTTCTTACAGCTATTTGCATCATTAATAGGACTCCTTCTAGGGTTCTTAACTTTGCAGCCTCACTCTCAATCTTACACCCCAATTCATCACTTTTTTTTATTCCTCCGCGAGTCTTCGGGTGTGTGTGCTTTGTTCAGCAGTTAGGGCAGACTCGTATAAAGCTTGACCCCAAGGCTTTGAAGTGTGTGTTTTAGGGTTATTCACACTCTCAAAAAGGTTACCATCCTCCCAGTCATCGGCGGTTTATATCCATGGATGTT